TTTACATTGGAATCGGAAACTGTGTTCCAGATAGTCAAGTAACTGCAATAATGTCAGTTTCGCTTATTTGATCATTTCCCATTAGTTCCATGGGAATCTCAAACTGTGTCCCAGAGAGTCAAGTAACTGCAAGAATGTCAGTTTTGCCTATTTGATCATTTCCCATTAGTTTACAATGGAATCACAAACTGTGTCCAAGAGAGTCAAGTAACTGCAAGAATGTGTTTTCGCCTATTTGATCATTTCCCATTAGTTTACATTGGAATCGCAAACTGTGTCCCAGAGAGTCAAGTAACTGCAAGAATGTCAGTTTTCGCCTATTTGATCATTTCCCATTAGTTTATATTGGAATCGCAAACTCTGTCCCAGAGAGTCAAGTAACTGCAAGAATGTCAGTTTTCACCTATTTGATCATTTCCCATTAGTTATATTGGAATCGCAAACTCTGTCCCAGAGAGTCAAATAACTGCAAGAATGTCAGTTTTCACCTATTTGATCATTTCCCATTAGTTACATTGGAATCGCAAACTGTTCCCAGAGAGTCAAGTAACTGCAAGAATGTCAGTTTTCGCCTATTTGATCATTTCCCATGAGTTTACATTGGAATCGGAAACTGTGTTCCAGATAGTGAAGTAACTGCAAGAATGTCAGTTTCGCTTATTTGATCATTTCCCATTAGTTCCATGGGAATCGCAAACTGTGTCCCAGAGAGTCATGTAACTGCAAGAATGTCAGTTTTCGCCTATTTGATCATTTCCCATTAGTTTACATTGGAATCGCTAACTGTGTCCCTGAGAGTCAAGTAACTGCAAGAATGTCAGTTTTCACCTTTTTTGATCATTTCCCATTTGTTTACATTGGTATCGCAAACAGTGTCCCAGAGAGTCAAGTAACTGCAAGTATGTCAGTTTTCGCTTATTTGATCATTTCCCATTAGTTCCATGGGAATCGCAAACTGTGTCCCAGAGAGTCAAGTAACTGCAAGAATGTCAGTTTTCGCCTATTTGATCATTTCCCATTAGTTTACATTGGAACAGCAAAACGTGTCCCAGAGAGTCAAGTAACTGCAAGAATGTCAGTTTTCGCCTATTTGATCCTTTCCCATTAGTTTACATTGTTATTGCAAACTGTGTCCCAGAGAATGAAGTAAATGCAAGGTCAGTTTTCGCCTATTTGATAATTTCCCATTAGTTTAAACTGGAATCGCAAACTGTGTCCCAGAGAGTCAAGTAACTGCAAGAATGTCAGTTTTCGCCAATTTGATCATTTCCCATTAGTTTACAGTGGAATCGCAAACTGTGTCCCAGAGAGTCAAGTAACTGCAAGAATGTCAGTTTTCGCCTATTTGATCATTTCCCATTAGTTTACATTGGAATCGCAAACTGTGTCCCAGAGAGTCAAGTAACAGCAAGAATGTAAGTTTTCGCCTATTTGATCATTTCCCATTAGTTTACAGTGGAATCGCAAACTGTGTCCCAGAGAGTCAAGTAACTGCAAGAATGTCAGTTTTCGCCTATTTGATCATTTCCCATTAGTTTACATTGGAATCGCAAACTGTTTCCCAGAGAGTCCAGTAACTGCAAGAATGTCAGTTTTCTACTATTTGATCATTTCCCATTAGTTTACATTGGAATCTCAAACTGTGTCCCAGAGAGTCAAGTAACAGCAAGAATGTAAGTTTTCGCCTTAGTTTCATTTCCCATTAGTTTACATTGGAATCGCAAACTGTGTCCCAGAGAGTGAAGTAACTGCAAGAATGTCAGTTTTCGCCTATGATCACTTCCCATTAGTTTACATTGGAATCGCAAACTGTGTCCCAGAGAGTCAAGTAACTGCAATAATGTCATTTTCGCCAATTTGATCATTTCCCATTAGTTAACAGTGGAATCGCAAACTGTGTCCCAGAGAGTCAAGTAACTGCAAGAATGTTAGTTTTCGCCTTTTTTGATCATTTGCCATTAGTTTACTTTGGAATCGCAAACTGTCCCAGAGAGTGAAGTAACTGCAAGAATGTCGGTTTTCGCCTATGATCATTTCCCATTAGTTTACATTGGAATCGCAAACTGTGTCCCAGAGAGTCAAGTAACTGCAAGAATGTCACTTTTCGCCTATTTGAGCCTTTCCCATTAGTTTACATTGGAACAGCAAAACGTGTCCCAGAGAGTCAAGTAACTGCAAGAATGTCAGTTTTCGCCTATTTGATCCTTTCCCATTAGTTTACATTGTTATTGCAAACTGTGTCCCAGAGAATGAAGT